CACGCATCGCCCCGCAGACACATTCAGACCCACCGACGCTCTGTTCGAGAGATGTGTCTGAGGCCCTAGAAGAGTCAGAGACTGAGTGGTCAGGGAAGGACCCCAGGGACTCTTGGGCGATGATTAGTAGAGGTCCAAAGGGTGAACATTTCGTGGTAGAAGTAGGTCTAGGTGGCCGCAAGGTTGGCGCCTTCGCAAACATAGGCTCTACATGGAATTTCATCAGTCGTGCTTGTGTGGATAGACTGCGCTTAGGGGACCAAGTGCAGCGGCATAGCAGAACTGTAGCTTCTACTTTAGCCAACAAGCACCAAATGTTGGTGAAAGACTATGCCAAGGACGTAGTCTGCACCTTTTGTCAAGGACGTAGTCTGCACCTTTTCCTATGGAGGAGGGGAAGTGAGTCATAAAATCTCCTTCCTGGTTAGCGACGAACTGCCATTTGACATGCTCCTAGGTATGTACTACCTCGAGGTCGCGCAACCGCAGTTTGACTGGGATAGAAAGGTATTGATTCACAAGTTGCCCAACGGTAGATCTGTTAGATTGCAAAACTTCAAAGCTAGCAGTCTAATAAAAAACTACGGGTGCATGTGTGCATCATCCTTCTATAACTATTATAAGCAGAATCGCGAGAAAGGCATGTATCTAGTTTTTGTCTCTGAGAAAGGGGAGGCCGTTAAATCACCCCCAGAGATAGAAAAAGTCGTCGCTCAATATTCAGACCTTTTTTAGGAGCCCACAGGCGTGGTAGAAGGGAGGTTGTCCATGCAATAGAGGTTGTCCTAGGTAGCAAGGTGCCTAGAGGACGAATCTATAGGATGTCTCTTGCGGAGTTAGATGAGCTTCGCCGCCAGCTCAAGGAGCTCACAGAGAAGGGATGGATACGGCCTAGTACCTCCCTTTACGGTGTGCCAGTCTTATTTGTCCCAAAGAAGGGAGGTCCATTAAGGATGTGCATTGACTATAGGGGCCTCAATGCCATCACCGTTAAGAACGCGGAGCCCCTACCCCGCATTGACGACCTCTTGGATACAGTGCAGGGATGCCGGTACTTCACAAAGATAGATCTGAAGTCTGAATACCATCAAATTCCCGTTAGACCTGAGGACCAGCACAAAACCGCATTTCAGACCAGGTACGGTCTGTACGAGTTTGTGGTGATGCCTTTTGGCCTATGCAATGCACCTGGTATATTCCAGCACGCGATGAACAGGATTTTTCATGACTACTTGGACAAGTTTATCGTCGTGTACCTCGACGATATTCTCATCTTTAGTAGGACTATACAGGAGCACGCTGAGCACTTGAAAACAGTGCGAGGTCTCCTAAGACAGCACCAATACAAGGTAAACTTGGATAAATGCAAGTTTGGTCGCACCAAGATCTTGTACTTGGGTCATGAAATTTCAGCAGATGGATTGAGGCCGGAAGATGCCAAGGTGGCCAGCATACGTGACTGGCCCAAAGCTCAGACAGTTATTGAGGTCAGATCGTTTCTGGGGATGACGGGCTATTATCGTTCGTTTGTGAAGAACTATAGTACTATAGCTTCCCCATTAACAGATCTAACTCGACTTGACACCCCTTGGGAGTGGACTGAAGAGTGTGAAGGAAGCTTCAAGAAATTGAAGTATGCACTGACACACTATGAAGTTCTCAAACTTCCTGATCCTGACAAGCCGTTTGTTGTGACCACAGACGCCAGCCAATATGGCATAGGCGTTGTCCTTGCGCAAAAGGAGGGGCCCAAGTTGAGACCTATCAGGTACATGAGCAAAAATATGCCATCTCAGAAACTAGCCAAGTCCACTTATGAGCGTGAGCTCTATGCCCTGTACAGAGCGCTGGTACATAGGAGACATTATCTCCTTGGCAGATTCTTCTATGTAAGATTTGACCATGAGACCTTGCGCTGGATCAAGACTCAGCCAGTACTCTCGGACGCACTCAAGCGCTGGATACAAATTATAGACATGTATGACTATCAACTTGATCCAATCAAGGGAGAGTACAACAAAGTAGCTGATGCGTTATCTCACCAGGCGGATGATCCGGGCGCACTAGTAACTAGATTTGGCATATCTAGCGACTTAACTTGATCATTGGTGGATGTCTATCAGCAAGATCCAGTTATGTCTGAGATCATCCGTAGATTCCAAGCAAAGGACAAAAAGACTTTGGACGGATTTACGATGGTAGACGGCTTGCTGTTTCTTGAGAAGGCAGGGAATAAAAGGTTGTGTGTTCCCAGTAGTGAGTCGTTGCGCAGTTTATTTTTAGGAGAATGCCACGATGCAACTGGTCATTTTGGCTATAAAAAGACATTAGCGAACTTAGTACAAAGATTATGGTGGCCCTCTATGATGTTAGATGCAAAACGCTATGTTGAAACTTGCCAGGTTTGCCAAAGAGACAAACCCAGGACTCGGGCTCCGCTTGGGCTGATTAAGCCCTTGCCGATTCCTGAAGGACCAGGTCAGAGTGTGTCTATGGATTTCATGGACACCCTTGTGACCAGCAAGTCTGGAAAGCGGCACATCTTTGTTATAGTGGACCGTTTTACTAAGTACGCAAGACTGATCGCCAGGCCAGAAACAGCTAAAACTGACTACGTCATTAAACTGTTTATGGATAATTGGGTACGGGATTTTGGTTTGCCTACATCCATCGTTAGCGATAGGGATGTGAGATTCACAAGTGAATTGTGGCAGTCAACTGTTGAACAGATGGGCACCGAACTCCAAATGACCTCAGGAAATCACCGGGAGTCAAATGGCCAGGCAGAACAGATGAACCGGGTAGTACAACACTTGCTTCGGCATTACATTAAGCCAAGTCAGGATGACTGGGACGAGAAGTTACCTCTCGTCGCCAGCTTGTACAACAATGCTGTGCACAGTACAACCGGTATGACTCCCAACCAGTTACATCTTGGTTGGAAGCCCAGAACTGCATTGGACTTTCCGCTACCAGAAAGACAATCCACTACAGCACCTGGCAGCATGGATTTTGCTGTCAAATATGAACAGATGCTGCAGCAGGCCGTTGAACATATTAGGAAGTCTCAGGATGCTATGATTGCATCTGAGAATAAGCATAGACGGCCCTCTTAACTTTCAGGTAGGTGAACGGGTCTGAGTAAAGTGATTTGAATTAGGTCAGGAGTTGGGGATATCCAGAAAACTGATGCCACAGTATTTCGGGCCCTGGGAGATCTTGGACGTTGTAGGGGATCAACCGGATGGGCCTTCATACGTGATCCGTATTCCTGCACACCTACGTACCTACCCAGTGTTTCATGCCTCCAAGCTGGCACCTTTCTCTGCCACTGATCAGTTTCCTTCCAGAAGATCAATGCTGCCCCCAACCATGGATGGCGAAGTGGACATTGACCAGATCGCCGAGCATCGACTGATGCCTGTTCCTTGACCATCAGGCAGAGGGCGACCTCCTAAACCGAGAATGCAGTATCGTGTGAGCTTCATACATCATCTGGATCCAAAAGAAGACCGGTGGTTCACACGAGAAAAACTCATGAGAACAGCACCTCAAGTGATCGCAGGCTATGAAAGAGCACTCAAGGGGAAGATGCCTGCAGAATGAGAGACTTCTCAGAGGACTCACGAAGTAAAGGAGGAGGGAATGCGAGGACCAGGGTCCTCGGTAGGCCTATGGGGCCCTGTTTGCAGCATTACCTGCCCTAAGTGAAGGCAGGCCTGGCTTTTTACAAGAGGCCCTCGACTGTCAATTTCATATTTGGGGTCCAGGCAGTTGCGACGCGCCAGTTGGTTGAAAGAAACACAGGCCG